ACTTACCAAGGCAGTGAGGGTGGGAACTATCTAACTTGTGAGTGTGTACCCAAAAAGACCAAGCCAGCAGTGGCTGGATGCCAGACAAGCAGTGTCCAGAACCCTTCACTGTAGAGACCTCATCAAAGATCTCAGCCTTGAAGGGTAGAAGTGATGCCAAGTAGGAAAGGCTACACAAATGGAATTTTGACTTTGAGAATCATAAGTAAAAGGAAAGGAGGTACAAGAGGTAGTGAGTGGTAGAAGTGATTTAAGGCATTGTCTTAGGCATAGGGTTATGGTTTAGAAATAGAATTAAAATGGTTATGGACAGGTTCTGCATCCTGCCCTGGGGTTTAGGGGATTAGGGGCTATTCTGGTGGTGGAGGTGAGGCTTAGGGTAAACCTAAAGGAATTAGGGTTAGGGTTAGAAGGTGAGAGTGGAGGTTAGGATTTAGGGTCAGGATTCTGATGACAGTCATGGTAAAAGTCAGGGTTACAGTTAGGGTTAGGGTTGGGACTAGCGTTAGAGTCCTGGTTAGAGTAAAGGTCAGAGGGTCACAGTCAGAGAGTCAGGATCAGAGGGTCAGGGTCAGAGGGTTAGGGCCAAAGGATTAGGGTTAGATGGTTAGGGTTGGGGTTAAGGTTGTACTTAGGCCTGGGCTTGGTATTAGGATTAGTGTTATGTGGGCTAGGGTTAAGGTTAGGGGTTTAGAGTTAGCTTTAGGGATGGAGTTAGGGTAATTCAGGTTTAGGTTTAGGGGTTAGGGTTAGGAAGGGGCTAGGGGTCATTGGTTATGGTTAGGGGTTAGGGTTTGAGGCTAAGAGTTAGGGTTTGGGTTAGGGTTAGAGGATTAGGGTTTGGTTTAGGATGATGGTTAAAAGTGCATAGGGGTTAGTGTTAGGGTTATGGTTAGTGGGTAAGGTTTAGGCAGTTACAGTTAGGGTCTTATGGTTAGAGTTAACGGTTAAAGTGTAGGGCTTAGAGTTTATGGTTGGGTTTGGGCTTGGGACTGGAGTTACTGGTTGGGGTTTTGGGTTAGGGTTAGGGTGTTAGTGTTAGAGGGTTAGAGTGTTAGGATAGTTTTAGGGTTAGGTTTAGCAGTTAGAGTTTAAAGTTTAGGGTTTGTGATTTAGGGTGAAGTTAGGGTAGTGGGTGGTTATGGTTAGGGTTAGCATTAGACTGGCCTACTGATGTGTGAACACATCGGCCATCTATTGTGTTAGAGGATTGGTCCACTCTCCTTGATGGATAGCCTTGTTGATCAGTGATGAACAGCCCTGATGATTCATAATGCTTATCCTATCCTTGCTGACCTGTGATTGGCAGGCTAGTGTGGCTCTCTCTCTCTCTCTCTCTCTCTCTCGTGTGTGTGTGTGTGTGTGTGTGTGTGTGTCCATTATCAGTGTCACATTTAACCACTTCAATGACTTGATCCATGCTTAGGCAGCCTGTGGGTGCACAGGTCTCTCAGTGGATCAACATGTCAGTTTGGCTGGACAGATGTATTTGTGTTGGCCTGTGGCTGAGTCAGTGGGTGTCTCTTCAGTTCAGGTCACTATACCATGAGTAGTTCATCCATCAAGTCTGTAATGTATAGACTGACAGACAGCTGAATCTGATTACCCCTCTCTGGTCCCTTCACAGCTGCCATGAGTGTTGGTTCAGTAATATAGGTGAATAACCTACTTGTAGTAACTGATCTGTCAGTCACCATGTGTGCACATCCTGGTTTGTAAAGTGTGGTCTGCTGATAGGGTGATGAAGAATCTTCTTAAGTGCCCTGTGGTACAGGTCCTGAGATGTGGAAAGTGGCTGTTGCAAATTAAGAATCTGAACACCAGATGAATGGCACAAAACTGACTCTGAATAGCTTGAGCCGTGGTTAGACTTTAACAGAGTTGGTCCACCAGGTTTACTTGAACACTTTTATTATTGGTTTTTATTTTTAACTTCTAAGAGTTACATCATAGTCATCATAAAAATCCCCACATTCCCCTTTATGCTTCCCCCTACACATTTACTACCCCCTACATAACCTCTTTCTAAACAGAGTTCTGCATTTTTGTAGGCTTAATGAATCCTTGAGCCAGGCACATCCTGTTCTTGCAGAACTTATGTCACTTGGCAGCTACTTGTGGTTACAAAGCTGGGGGAACATGGAGCCACCTAGGAGGGGGACACTGAGAAAACCTCAGGGACTCTGAGGTAGCGTGCAGGACATTGAAGGACTTGAGAGGAATGCCAAGTTAGCCTGTGGTTCACTAAGGTGCTGTGTAGGTACTGGGGCATATTGAAGCAGCCTGGGGGGAAAATGCAACAATTAGGGAAGATACCAAGGCTGTTGGGAGTTGGGAGAGATACTGAGATAGCCAATGGAGCATCAGGGTAGCTGATGGGCACTGACTCAGCCATGGATAAACTGAGGCAGTTGGGAGAAACATGAGGGAGTGGGGGAGTGAGGCAGCTTTGGGGATCCCAGGGAGCAAAGGGACACTTAGTCAGCCTGGGCGGATATAGAGGCATTCAGTTGTGAGACATTGATGCAGCAGGGGACTACTATAGCAGTATGAGGGGACAGGAAGTGGGGGACACCCATGCAGCCTGAGGGGACAGTTAGGTTTTGGGGGACATGGCACTGATGAATCCTGGGGGAAAACTGATGCAGCTGGGTGGCATAGAGGCAATGGTGGGGGTGGGGGGCACTGAGGCAGTCAGGAGAGTGAACCTTAGGCAACCTGAAGGACATTGGGTAGCCTTGGAGCAGGGAGCTTTTTAGGAGGCTAGCAGAGTCACTGTATCAAGGGTAAATATCAGAACAGAACAGTTGTTTTGTAAATGAACTTTAACCTTAACAGAAATCTTCCTGGGAATCAGTGATTGCTTTCCTTGATTTATAGAGTTGTTTTTCTGGAGCATCTTTACAGCCTTTGCATTGCCTTTGGTCACAGATGGAACACCTGAAGCTGTTGGATTATTGGGTACTGACAATGGAACACAATAAGGTCTAAAGTCGCAGGGACATGATGCAGAGGCAGGCAGATCTCTGTGATTTGGAGACCAGCCTGGTCTACAGGGCAAGTTCCAGGACAGCCTCCAAAACAATACAGAGAAACTATGTCCCAGAAAAAAACAGGAAAGGAAGAAAGAAAGAAAGGAAGGAAGGAATGAATGAAGAAAAACACACAGATTAGGTTAGGTCATTGGTTTGACAAACTTGTTTGCCAAAAAAAAATCTTTCTGAATCATTCAATAAATATTTCTTTGTACTGCTGCTTGAGGTTCAGTCCATCAGAGGCTGAACTTTCCTGCTTCCACTCAGGTCTAATGATTTCATTTTGTAGTGACCTCTTTCTTCAACAAACTCACACAACACAGGACATGAGGCAGCTGGGGTGCTCTGTGGCAATCAGGGGTACAAGGTGGCAGTGTTGTGCCCAAATTCTGAACCTCCAAATCACAAAGAGACCCATTCCAATGCAAAAGCAAACAGTCTTTAGTAATTTAATGAGTTAACTGCTTTAACTCAGTTCTTCAGTTCATCTAACACAGAAGATAGAGCAAGAAGGACCTAGGGGCAGGGAATTTATTGGGACAGAGCAAGGGGAGTGTCTGGAGGGTCCACAAAAGTCTCAGGATTGGTACACTTCTGGGCTTGGATGGCCTGTCCTGTGTTGACTTGTCAACCCTTTGCTGTGCCCCATAGGCCTTCCCAGGGCAGTTGCTATGCTCTTCCCTTCACTTTGGCTGTAAAGCACATCCAGAGCTCCTGAAGCACATCCAAAGTCTGACTTCTGATTGGTTCGTTGCCACTTCTGGCTTCCTAGTGAGGGGTGTGATCAGGGAAGGCTGGAAGTTCAGCACTTGTTGCTAAGACAGAGGTGTTTGTCATGGCTGCTAAAGTTGAATTATGGGTGAGGGTCTGGTCCCTTCACGATGAGGCAGCCAGGGGCACACCAAAGTAGTTGTGGCCAGACTTTGGAGCACCTGAGGGATACGAAAGAAACATAGGAGGTGTCAGGAACACTTACCAGGGTTTAGCATGGGAGGAATGATGGCAGACTCAGCAAGTTGGTTTTGAGTATATGTTTTACTTCACACTTGTATCAGAGCAATACACACAAATAGAAGCGAAGTCTTAGGAACTCTGAGCAATTCTCCTAATTGTTCCCCAAATGTCAGTCAATCAATATCTAACCCATGCCTCTCCCTACCTACTGATGTAATCCTTTGATTTTTGTCTTTAAAACTAGTGTAATGAACTGTGGTGCCACTCCCTCTGGAGACTGCTGGATAGAGTCCCTGTTGGTAGGATTGAAAAATAAAGCCCCGCATTTGCAGTTCTGTGAGTATGTCTCCTTGGTGGTCTCTGGGGGTCTTAGTGACTTGGGCATAGCAGTGTTAACAAGCTTACTTCCAAACAAATAAAATACTTAAGTTATTCGTTTACCATGAAAAGAAAAGAATTTCAGGAATGAAATTCTAAAGCAATGGAATAATCACCCAGCCTTCTGGGGGGACCTGTCATCTTGTTTGTGATCTGGTTCCTGCTTTTCCCTCAAGGTTGTCAGAAGTCCCTGTGGCTACCAGGTTAAAAATTACATGCAATTTACCTGACCTCACCCTGAGGTCACAGAACAAATATCTTTTGTGTCGTAAAAGCTGTATTTAATTTTTAATATTCTGGTCATCAGTCCACTCCTGTGACAGCAATCACTCCACCCCACATAGTATATTGGGCATTGTAATCCACATTGTGTCCAGGAGGAAGAAAGGGAGGTGCCTATGGAATACAGGAAGACAGCAGGGCCAGCTATGGATCCAGGGGCAAGTGATATTGAAATGCATATCTCTGCAGATCTGGAAAAGGTCTGTGTTTGAGGAAATGCATGGCCAGGAAACATTGTGCTGTGTTTTTAAATACACTATAACCTTAAGGGAGGTGCTCTTGTCACTCAGGCCTCACAAGCCAATCAGAGCCTCCAGAGGACCTGCCAGTGAGACGTGGTGCAGGGCCCTTCCTGTGGCGGACTTCAGGGCCAGCTTTGAAGAGGATCTGGCTACAGCGGTTTTGTGCGCTGTGCTTCAGGGAACTGAGCCGAGAGCTTGGGCAACCTGGGAAACCACGATTTGGTGAACAGGGAGCTGATGTCCCCAGGTGGGAAGGAGCAGATGGTAAGGAGCTGGGGCCCGTGTCAAGGGTCCTTCCGGGATCTGGGTGGGAAACGGCAGCCAGATTTCCTGTGGCGTGAGACATTTGAGTTCCTGCGCGGTCTGTGCAACTCCTAGGACCCAGGATACGTCTCTGAATAACTTTGTTTGTGGGCTCTATCTGCTCAGAACACTGGGAGCAGCTGCTGTTCCTGGATGGGGAGGAACAGATGGTGAGGTCCGGGAGCCAGTGTGGTGGGTCCTACCCAGATATGGTTGGAAAACTGCAGCCAGATTTCCTGTCCTGTAAGGTTCTGTGTTTTCCTTGTAACTCCCTGGACCCAGAATAACTTTGCTCTGTGGGCTGAATCTGTTCAGAGCACTTGGTGCAGTGAGCTGTGTGTAGAAACATCTTTCTAGTCAACTTCAACATGCTTTTGGTGCATCCATAGAAAGCAGGTTGTGAAGCTAGATGAGGGCTAGTTTCCCTAGTTTCTTCTAGATATTCAGCACTTTGCATTTTACCTTTCTGTGTTAAGATCCATTTATAATCAATTTTGCAGAGGTTGTGTAGCACTCCAACAGTGTGCTGTGATGTAGAAGAGTAGAATTGGTGATGTAAAGGATTTACCAATACAAAACCATTTAGGTGAGGGAGGTCTGCCTCTAAGACACTCAAAAGAGAAGTATATGCTAACCAGGCCTGTTAGAGATTAGGAAGCTAAGATAGACATGTGTACACCAGGATTGTCCACACATTTGGCTCCAAACCATTACAAAGAAGCCAATCCTGATTTATAACCAGCCACTAGTCCCAAACCTTTATCAAAGAAAAGGCATCTAACAAGCTGCTCAAGGCGGCAGGCATTGCAGGGTCACAACCAACCCAATCTATGTTGTTGATTTTATTAATTATAATCTAATTATACTGTTCATTTTCTGGAAAATGATGGACTTTCACCAATTTTGTATTTGTTGGTTTGGGAAATTTCTGTGGAGAGGCAGTTTTAGTTTTCTTGATCTTTGATTCTTGCCTCTTCCTATTTCCTGGCATATCTGTGTTTTCCAGTTGTTGCGATCTCCATGTTTGTGTTTTTGCTGCTTGAGTGATTGATATGATTAATACAGTGACTTTAGATGTTTAAAACGTTCTCATATATTATTGTCTCTTTTTTCTAGTTAGCCTCAGCTGTCATTGTGATATAGCCTAGAGTCCTCTGAGGGAACATCAACTGAAGGTGTGCCTAGATCAGAATATCTGGTTGTTGTGTCTGAGAAAGATTGTGTTGATTTTGATTGATGTGGGAAGGCTCTTCCACTGAGTTAGCAATATCTCTAAACAAGTGAATCTGTGCTGGATGAGAGCTAACTAAGCAGAAGACAATGAATGACAAAGCAAGAGAGAAAGTCAAGAAACAATGGTTTTGCCTTCATTTATTAGCTTGAGAATCTATCCTAAGTTCTCACAAGCAGGGACGGTGACCTAGGGGTAACAATCAAACAAGCATGTTCATTACCTGAGTTACTTTTGGTTAGAAAATTTAATCACAGCATCAGAAAAAAGTTGGAACAAAAAAATGGTACCTCAAAAATGATTTTGTTGCTGCAAATGGCTCGGGAATGTTGTCTTTTCAAAAAATGTTGAAGACATCAGAACATAGATGGGCAAAAGTCATAGAAAGTTATTCACAGAGCTTAATCAGCTGTTCTGGAAGAACCTCAAAGAGCAGAATTTTGAGCACAACGGCAGACAGTGGAGGTCAAGGTCATAGGATTTTAGTGGGCAATAGGTTCTCTGGGGGACCATGCAGTTTGCCTGGCCTACCTGCCTAGAGAGACAAGCATCATAGGTTTTTCAGGTTATAGTCCATGGCTCCTGGGGCATAATGTTCCTTCCAGTTCCAGACAGACTGTTGCATCCCCCCCCAGCAGTGAAACATTCTGACTGCTTGTGTTTCTCTATATGATCCCTTAGTAGTCAAGGAAGCATGGAAACTTAACAGGACAATTTTTCTTAGACATTAATCTTGTATACCCTGTATAGCTTGATAACTTCATTGCATCTTGGCAGCTACAACAGTATTGATCCTGAAAACTACCATGTCTTCTGTTTCTGATAAAGATATAAAAAGTCTGATTGCTCTCAATAAGACAGTAACAGTCTCATCTTTCTGTGGCCTCTCCAGCCCAAGGCTGGCTTTGTTCCTTGTGGTACTATCAGGTGATTTTGGCCTGGTAAATCAGCACAGTTGCTTAGAAGACTTCATGAAAAATCTAGAGTTCATTTGTGTGATATTTTGGCCTCAAATCTTCCTTATTCTTTTCATGTCCTAAGAAAGTGAGTAAGGCAGAATTAAAAAGTAATGAGTTGATTTTGTAGACAAAATATTGCTTGTGTTCAATGGTTATTACTCATTCAGGTCTACATTGAAAAAGAAACAAGTAGAAAGAAAGGAAAACTCTGTTTTTTTTTTTTTTTTTTGTTGTTGAGAAAAACAGCCCCAGAAAGTTTCAGATGAAATTCTAGTGGTGAAAATGAGACAGGAATTTTCAAGGATTTACGCACCATGAAATGCAAGTGTAACATGTATTCTTTCCTACTGCATGGTCGCAGAGCTGCGTGAGTCCCAAATGAACACACAGAATGCTATATTACGTATGAAGCTGTTGGCCATTTACTTGATTTCTTATTGGCTATCTCTGACTTAATTATTAACCCATAACTGCTCGTCTGAGTATTTCCATGTGGTCTTCTCTACCGGAGAAAATGGACCTCTTACTTCTCCTGTATCCTACATCGTGAGTATTTCTGTTTCCCAGAAACCTCCTCAATTCCTAGTGCCACCTATCTTGCTTCCCTATTGGCCCACAGTGCTTTATTCAACAACCAATAAGAGAAGCATAAACACAGAAGGGCTTCCCTCATCAGGGAAGGTCCTTGCTCTGCATTGGAAGCCTAGGAATGTTGTGCCAAGTAGAAGACTTCATGCAGTCAAGCCCTTAATTTATAGAAGGATCCAAATGTTTCTGTCACTTCTTAGTTTTGGAAGTTGTTTGCTCTGCACTTCCTGTTTACTCAGATAACATTATTTCCTTCTCAGGTCTCTGATGGAGATGAAGACTAGATAGTTTAGTTATAGTTTTCCTTGTTACCAACTTCAGAAAAGACACTAACAGAAGAAGTATAAAGTGTATAAGGTTCAGACACATAAGAAGATAGTTTTGGGTTGCTAATACAAGGATAGAATGTGAATTAGGTACAACACTTTGGACTCATCAATATAGAATAGATAATGGAGTATTTTCTCTGAATTTATCAAATGCTAATGGACTAGACATTGTTAATACAATTATTGCCTGTATATCTCTGTTTATAGTTATTGTACTCGCTGTATATAGTTTTACTATGTTAGTTAAAACATGTGCTTTTTATTTAGAGAAAAGGTGGGAAATGTGTGATATTTTGATTGTGTTCTAATGAGTAAAGCTTGCCTGGAGTCAGAGGGCGGGGCCAGCCACTACCTGACCATAGAGCCTTGGAGGCCTGAAGACAGAGAGAAGACAGGACAGTGGTAAGGTAGCTTGAAGAGAAGATTTTGGCTCTTTTGAGTGGAGGAAATGTAGAGGTAGGAAGTGACAGTAGATGCTCCCCTGCTTCTCTGCATATTCAGGTTTGCAGGGGATAGAGCAAGGCTGCCATAACTGTTGCCCAGAGGGGGCAATGAACTCTAAATGGGTGCATAGGAATAGGGACACCCGGGTACATGATTCTCGTGTGGCAAGGGCTTGCAGGCCCTAGAGCCTAGATTCCTAGTTCTGTAGGAGTCTGCAGAGTTAGGACTTGTTTATTCTTGACAAGAAGGATAGTCATATGGGTTTGGAGGAGGCAAAGCCTTTTCAAAAAGAATGCAATGAAGCATTCATTTAGGAAAAAGTCTTCCAAAGCCTGCTTAACTAACTGCGAACACATTCTAGAAAAAATGTAGAGAGGGTTTAAGGGTGACCAGACCCAAGGTAACATAATCAAATTTCCCTTATTTTTACCAGAGTTTGGGGTCAACAGAAAAAAAATAAAACTAGGGAAAATAGACTTGAGCGCTGGGAGGGCTCTGCAGCAGTGGAGGAGGGAGGGAGGGAACCACAGCTCTTGGAGCTGTAAAGCCATTGCTTTACTCACTACTCTCCTCCCACAGTCTCCTGAGCAGAGCCCCCGCATTGGCCCCAGACAGTGTTTTGGTGAGGGGTGAGTAGAAGGTGGAGGTTGCAATCAGCTCCAGTCATGGGGGTAATCTTATTCCTGGCCTGTGGGCTAGAATTCTGCAGGAGACATTTCTGAGCCTTCTAGAAGAAAAGAGCAATGGGTTGTGAGGGGAGTGGCAAGTAAGGAGTGACTCTAGGTGACTGGCAGCTGGGTTGGGTGTTTGGAGTGTGTGTTAGGATAGAAAATAATTTAGGAGCCGGGCGGTGGTGGTGCTTGCCTTTAATCTCAGCATGGCTGGAGAATAGATCTTTCATGAGACCCTTTGCTTTTTCGTTTTTATACCTCTCAAATCCTAGGAAAGCTCACCTTTGTATGAGCTGTTTCTCTTTAGGACTGGATCAATTTCATGTAGCTCAGGGTGGCCTTGAACTAGCAGAAATCTGTGTGCCTGTTTCCTGAGTTCTGGGATTAAAGGTGTGTGTTACCACTGCCTGGCTTTATGGCTATCTAGTATGGCTTCTGGAATTGAAGGTGTGTATCACCACTGACTGACCTCTATAGCTTGTGGCTCTTACCTGAATCTTCAGGCAAGGTTTAGTAAACCATAAATGATTTGTCACCACACATAACCACCTCTGAAACCCTCTTTTCTCTTATGTCACCTATATACTCATGAAATGTATTCTCTCTTACACACAAACATATACAAAATGTGGGGATAAACTTGTTTTCAAGAACTTGAGTTCTTGTGACTCATAAAGCAATTAGAGCAAACCAATTTTCTTTAGGTGTATAATACAAATCATTTACTGTTTCTTTAAGA